CTGTTGCAATTAGTGGCAGGTTGAGGCCAAAATTTTCGTAGATTGACTGGACTACCACTGGGATTTTCAAAACAAAGAAAAGTCAAGCTTGACGGGCTGCGTTCCTTTTGTTTTTGAGGTTGTTTGCCATCCAGTATGGCGGATTTTGTACCATGTGACCGTTTCATGCAAAAGGCCTATTGCCTCCTTCTAAGCACTATAACTTTCTTTCATTTCTATATCCTTCAATTGTTTCATGCTTTTTAGGCGTGCACTCTACTCTATTTTACCAACCTCGTCCCCAGGGCCATCTCGGCCGACTCCTTTTCAAGATGGCGGTCGTCGGGGAGATGACCCTGGCGTTGGCTGAACTAAGACGCTTTCTGATTGGCTATTCAAAATGCCTTTTSTTATATCACTCATTATTGGCTGTTTATGTTCGTCTATAGGTCGGGATGTGTTCGACACTGTCGGTATGTCCGGATAACCGTTAGGTCTTTGATCGGTTATTGATTTAACCGTTACGATGCGTTCATTGTTTTTATTCAAATATTCCCGAAATTTAATTAAGGTTCGTTTTGTCGATTAAAAAGCAACGATATTCTTTGGAATTCTTGTCAGTTGTCCTCTTATGTCTCTCTTGTCCAATGCGTGGTTTTGAGATGCCAACGACTCGTGTAAGAAATTTAACTTGACGGATATATTTAGCGATAGCATTCGATGTTATAGAAGTCTTCTACTCGCCGATTTTTTTTTAGTGAGCGGATCCCTCAAGAATTCTAGAATGAACTGGATCTACTCCCKTAGGCGGTCTAGGGGTCAACACTGCCGATGACGGCAGGACGGAAGGACATTTTTTTCAAATAAATCATCAAAACAAAGCAAATACCGACCCACCACAGCTATCCCAGTTTGTGAAACCGTTGAGTTCACGTTTCGAGCGCCATTTTGAATAGATAAGCCACGTGATCAAAACCTCCAAAAATCTTGGAGGTTTTGATCACGTGATTCCAGCCAACGCCAGGTTTATCTCCCCGACGACCGCCATCTTGAAAAGGAGTCGGCCGAGATGGCCCTGGGGACGAGGTTGCTATTTTACAGTTCCAGGCGCCATCTTGAAAAGGTAGCCAAGCCTTTGCATCAAAGCGAGGCAGTAGTTGAGCTTGCAATGATAGATACCTGTCTTGGGTGTGAACAAAAGGTATTTATCATTGCAGACTCACCTCCTGTCTCGCTTTCATGCAAAGGCTTGGCTACCTTTCAAAATGGCGCCTGGAAATGTAAAATGGAGTATTTTCTCACATTTATTTACTGCAGTTAGGACCATGGTTGACCAAATGAAATGACCGGCATCGCAGAGGTCATGGGTTTGATTCCCATTTTAAAAACTTTTTTCGGGCAATCAGTTTATTAACAATTTATTGTACAAAATTTATTTACACATGATTTAGTGGTACGATTGTAAAATATTGTTGTTGTCAATCATAAAGTTAATAGACCTCTGCAGCTTTTACGTCATGTACCGTATACGCAATGCATTGTAGGAYATKTTTGGGACARAACATGGCGGATTTCTTTTGTTTTCTCTTGAAATTGATCCCAAAATGCATTGAAAATCAAGTAGTGACGTAAAAGGTTCAGAAGTCTGTTCCGTCAACGTTCAGTTGTAAAGACAAAAATAAATTCATTTGCATACAAGGGTTTTTTAGAATTCTCAGAGAGAACTGTAATATGAATATTGCAAAAATGGTTTAGTTTGGAATGTTAAAGGGACACTGTCAATGGCACGCATGCGCGAGTAAACTTGAAAACATTAGGCTAGTGTTTTCAAGTTTATGACTCCAAGTTGGCGCGACATAAATCAGCTCGTAAACGTAAACAGATCTAGAATATTCCAAAGTGTGTCAA